AGCATGGCCAGGGTGGGTGCGGCCAGTTTGACATCATTCGTGTCGGGGGCGCCTGTGGTAACCCAAGTGCTTTGCCAGTGAAAACAGGCTCCCGAGCTCCGTTTTTGCTGGCAGAGGGTTGCAGAAGGCCGTCACAGCTGAAAACGGAGCTCGGGAGCCTGTTTTCACTGGCAAAGCACTTGGGTTACCACAGGCGCCCCCGACACGAATGATGTCAAACTGGCCACACCCACCCTGGCCATGCTCCCAGACCCCTCCCTTCAAGGTCAAACACAACTCTGATGCCGCCCTCAATGAAATTGAGTTTGATACATGTAGTCTAGAATATTGTGCAAACGTAACCGGAAGAGTTAGTTTATAGTTCAGTGTATTGGGTCAATAGAGAATACATTGTAGCCTTGCATTCCAGCAACACACGAGTAGGATTTGACAATTATTTTAAGCTATAATAAAAATGGAATAATTGAATCAATCTTGAGAAGCCATGGATGAATGAATAAAATAAGTCAATTATGGTTAAGCACAGCATGCAGTTTCAGCTTTTGTGTGGCTATCTTCTGGGAAGAATCATTTAATGTTTAATGTTTCACATTCCCAAGGCAATGTGAGAAATTTACAGCTGTACCTTTGGGGCTAATTAGCATTGCACACGCTGTGAATTTTGCTAAAGGTCCATCAAAAAGAAGCGCTGCTTTTCCATTTATATTATTTTGTCATATGAACTGTCACTTGTTTTAACAAATCTTCGCCTTGGCAAACGTGTTATATGTACAATGCTAGTCTAATAGCTATTCCACAAGGACTAATATTTCTCAATTAGGATCCTAGCGGACACCAAACCTGTGGGATTAATACGGTTGCCCAAATGCATCATGTACTCTGCATTTATCCTTTATGTAAGTAATTTAAGCAAGAGAACATCAATCAAAGATGTTTGTGTTTTGTTCTGGTTTATTTTTATTTTTATTTTGCTGGTACAGAGTAGTTCTTAATCAGAAACTTCTTTGGAACTAAGCCCTGAGGTCTGTACGCTTTTAGAATCTATCTTCCGGGTCTAGATGGCAGTTATCTTTGGATGGCTTCTTCTGGGATTGTTTTAAGCAAAACTCTTGGAAAAACATTGAACTTTTTAGTACAGTTGCAAACGAACCCTCCCCTTCCTGAGCCGACCTATCATAGATTAAACATTTTGTGTTGCACAGGGTGGAGAAAAGTTGCTCATGTATCTCTCACAGCCAAAGCAATCAAGGAGAGAAGTCATTTATAGAAGAGCTTGGACAGTTTCTAAGCAGGGATCTTGGCATACATGGCGACTGCTGGGAAGGTAAGGAAGACTCTTAATCAAAACCTGCCCGGGCAGCTTAATGTACAGGATTATTAGACCACTTCTAAAATGGAAGCATTAAGTGCTCCATAAAAACGTATGGAGCCTTGTGTGAATTTCACTAGTGCTGATTTGTTCTATATACTCTGCAAAGGTCAGCCTTGAAGAACCATTCAACACTTGTGAATTCAAAAAGCAAAGCTGCCTGACAAGTACAAAATTAAGCGTTCTGGAGCATTGTTAAAATGACTGTTAAAATTCTGCCGTGGGTAAGAAAACGTATAGTCATTTGGTTGCTTTATTAGAGTATAGTTTTCTTAGCTTTCACCTGAACTCTAGGCAGGAAAATGCTGACCCAATCGGTCTTGTGCTTACGGTACTAAGACTTAGTACTGTCTATGGAGTATTTAATACACTCACGATATCTTCTTCCTACATATTGGATTTTCTCGAGTCATTTTAAGATTGCATTGGAGATGTTGGTTAGTGACCATGGAATCACAATCTAATTTATAGTATTGGAACGGGGTAGAAAACTATATTCTTGTGTTTCCTGCTATTTTGCTCTGTTGAGGAATTTCCAGGATGACAGCAGGAGCAGCAGCATCTAATAAGCCCTGTGGACAAGTATTAGTTCCCAAATATGTTATTGGGCAGTTTCGCCTTGGAGGGCTTTAAATATTGTACCATGTTTGCATTTAAGTGGATAGTATTTTCATTCAAAGAGTTTGGTGATGTGAATGTGGACAAGTCTTTGTTCTTCACCATGCAGAAGACCAACATTATTGAGAGCCAGTTTGGTCTAATGGGAAAGACACGGGTCTAAATCCAGGAGACTCTGAGCTTTAATCCCACTTTAGGCTTGAAAGCTAACTGAGTGTCTTTGGGCCAGGGGTGGGTTGTGGTGGCTGCTACTGCCGGTTCGCTCAGGGACCCTTCATGCACGGACGTGCTTGATGAATGCTATGCATGCAGTACTAAAAAAATGCTTCTGTGCATGCGCAGAAGCCAAAAACAAGATGAACTGAAAGAACCAGTTCAGGGGCGTGGCAGGCCTGGGGTGCTGCCACTTCCAGCAATTCAGGCCGCCAAGTTACTACCTGTTCAGCCGAACCAATTCGAACCGGTAGGAACCCACCTCTGCTTTGGACCAGTCACTCTCACCTCACTTCACAGGGCTGTTGTTGTATGGAAAATAGGCAGGAGAAGAAATCTAAGTATGTTTGCCACCTTGAGCTTTGAGTTATTTATAAAAATAATAAAATCTTATTTTTTTTCTTCCATGCAGAAAACTAATTGAATCTCACTGCCGTTTAAGAGAAATGTGCCAAGAGTAAACAAAAATTGTGTGTGTATATGTGCATGTGTGTGTTATTTCCAGAGTAATGTTCAGAGCAGGGTTTTCAGCCAAAAGTCTTTGGATTCAGTATTTAGCTAATACTTCTCCCTCTTAGAATCTCTTTTTGTGGCTTTACAAGCTCATGTAAATATGGGGAAAACTTTTCCACTTTCGTTTGTTTTGCATTTATGGTACGAGACTCTCCAGTAGCTTTTTTTTACTTAGTAATAAATTATAAAAAATGTAAAATATTATGACTTGCAAACTCTGGTAAAACTTTAAAGAGAACTATTTTGAGACAAACTCAATGTATGTGTGCTCAGGGTGAGGGAAACCCATTTCTTACATGTGAACAGAGATTGAACAATTAAAACCAGACCAGAAATGAAAGCTGGGAATAGTTGCTATGCATACATAGCTGTACATGTTAGACATTCCTTTACTCTTTATGCTATGGATTCTTTGGTGTCAGTTGTGTGCCTTCAAATTTGTTTTTGACTCCTGATAACTAGCCTGGAACCTTAACCACTACACAAACTGGTTTATAAGTAAATAAACCTCTGTTATTACTTACCTACTTACTTATGTACTGACCAACCTACTTCCGTCTGTCTATCTATCTGGTCCAGTGGTGGGTTGCACTTACTTTCACAACCGGTTCGCTGATCATGCACACGCACATTGTTCGTGCACATGCCTGACTCCCGCTGTGCGTGCATGTGCAATCCACTACCCTTGCGACAACCAGCTGACTGTTTAGGCTCACACAGGTGCCGCACGCTGTGCGCACATGCGCAATTTGCCTTTTGCCAAAAAAACAGGGTGGGCCAAACAAGCTACCGTACTGGTTCGCTCTCAGCTGCTCCGGGCTGCTACCGGTTCAGCCAAACCGGCAGCAACCCACCTCTGATCTGCTCTATAATTAATTACATAGTTAAAATTTACAAACTAATTTTGGGCAACAGGTGGAAGTTCTGTAGTATTTCCAGATAGGAATGGGTACAGTTTTCTTTTTCTAAAAAACATTTTCTTGGTTTCTGATTTTTGCAAGTTCAGTTACTTGGTATGTGAACATGTTTCTATGAACATCTTTCCATGGAAGTTTAGTTGCAGTTCTGTATATTGTATTTGCAAGCATATCTCCTAACATAAGGCAAGACCTTCTCTGATAAACACTTTTTTTCCTTTGGTGAACCCATTACAGATTACAAATATTAAGCTGCAATTGTATACACAGTTAGCTGAAAGTAAAGCCCAGTTAATATTCTGCATAAATATGAGTAGGAGACATCCCTCCTCCCACTACTTAAAATGTTCGCCCATCTATAGCCCTGCAGAAAACTAAACTAGCATAGATTTTGTAGTCTTGATTGCCATTTGAGTTGTCTTCCTTTTGGCTTGCAGATCAACAATAGTGTCCTCATGCGCCATGCCAGAAAAGCTGTCTTCAATTTTCTGACTTCTCAGGGTCACCAGCAAACCATCTGCTCCAATATTAGTGTAATTCAGGGGTGTCGAACTCGATTTCATTGAGGGCCGCATCAGGGTTGTGTTTGACCTTGGGGGGCTGGAGTGGCCGTGGCCAGGGTGGGCATGGTTATCTTGATGTCACTTGTGTCAGGAGCGCCTATGGTGGCCTGAGCGCTCTGCCAGAGAAAACAGACTTCTGAGCTCCGTTTTCAGCTGTGACAGCCTCCTCCAACCCTCTGCCAGGTTCAACTTCCTTCCTTTCCTGGGTTAACAGTTCTTGTCCCTCCTTTGGCTTACAAGGTGTATTCTGAGGATATATTTGCTCATTTCTCTGACTTCTTTTGATGGTCCGTGTATACACAGGTGATTAAATGTAAAGCTGCAATCATCTGGGAACCAGGCAAAGCATTTTCGATTGAAGAGATAGAAGTAGCACCACCAAAGAGTCATGAAATTCGAGTGAAGGTAATGCAGTGAATCAGTTATTATTGTAATAAAAATTGGCAGTTATCTTAATACCTAAAACTATTGAGACTTGCTGGAAAGGCTAATGCTTAGGAAAACATAAATAACAAACAAGATGTGAACCAACATGCTGCTATCCGAAATGTTCCTGTTGATGGTTGCTCTATCAATCATCCACTTCTTGTTAGCTTTTTTTTTTCCAAAGGGGTTTCCCTTCAGAATCATTTTGGAATAAATGTTTTGTATTGCTGCACAGTTTCTTGATCTCCCTTTTGTGCTTGGGTACCTGTTTGTGAAATAGGTTCTTGACTATATCACATTATTGGTGGTCCATAGACAGACAGACAGACACCCACACACCCACTCTATCTGTCTGTCTGTCTGTCTGTCTGTCTGTGTGTGTGTCACAACCCCTGGTATGCCCAAATATGGGAGGAAGCATACTGCTTCCCTTTTGCCTTTCAGCTCCACCCTAGGAGACTTCCAGGCAGAAAACCATTTCATGTTGCATTTTTGCTGATAAATAAATAAAGGGAGACTAGTATAGATCTATTTCAAGCTATTTAGCTCTCATCAGCTAGCCGTACACTTACTGGGAATCGAACTTGGGCTGTATTACATATCAGGTAGTTATATTAGTCACTAAGCCACAGGCTCTCTTCCTTTATCAGCTAGATTTTCATGGATGTAGGTATGCTGGTCTTGTATTCGGGTCTTTTTCCGTGTAAGATCTCAATCTCAATCTTACATGGAAAAAGATCTGAATACCACAAGACCAGCCACTGACAATATCACTACTCTACAAAGCAACCTTGACCATGTGTCTGAATGGTCACGCAATTGGCAACTCCAAATCTCGACTAATAAATGCTCTGTCCTACACACTGGCAAAAAAAAAAAAAAATCAGAACACCAAATGCAAGTTGGACTGAAACGACCTCATAGACGACCCCCATTTTGTCAAGGACCTTGGAGTACTCATCTCAAATGATCTAAGCCCCAGAGCCCCCTGTAACAGCATTGCCAAAAAGGCATTAAGAGTTGTTAACCTAATTTTGCAAAGCTTCTTCTCCGGTAACATTGTGTTGCTAACAAGGGCATACAAAACATTTGCCAGGCCAATTCTCGAATACAGCTCATCTGCCTGGAATCCACACTGGGCATTGCGCATTAATACGATTGAGTGGGTCCAGAGGTACTTCACGAGAAGAGTACTCCACTCCTCCACTCACAATAAAATTCCCTATGCCACCAGATTTGAAATTTTTAGCTTGGACAATCTGGAACTGCAGTATGATCTAAGCCCAGTACACAAATTTGTCTGCTACAACATCTTACCTGTCGACGACAGATTATGCATCAATGAATATTCTGCATCCAGAATGAAGACGATAACTAGTATAGATAGATCTAGTTTTTAATGAGACCACAGTTCAAATTTTGATAACACCCAAAGCAAATCATTTTGAAAAGTGCAACAGAGAGATCAATACATTTGGTGTTCTTTCTTGGGATCTCCAGGCAAACTAAAAATCCTTAATCTTCTTTCCTTTAACTGCATAACTGTTGTGTGTTATGATTGGGGGGGAATGTCCTCTTTGAAGGCTTCCACAAAACATCTGCTGGATTCACTGTACAAAGAGAATGCTGGATTAGATAGGCTTTGGGTCTGGTGAAGCTTTTTAGGTAAAAATATGAGTTGGACCTAAGCGTTGAGATGACATACTCTTATTCGTACAGATGGTAGCCACTGGGATCTGCCGGACCGATGATCATGTATGGAAAGGGTTTTTTCCAAATATAGACTACCCTGTTATTGGGGGCCATGAAGGCGCAGGCATCGTTGAAAGTATTGGGCCAGAAGTCACTTGTGTAAAACCAGGTAAGAATAAGATAGATAAATTATTCACATTGGAATAGTACAGTACTAGGAATTTCAGGCAATTTTGAAGATGCATCTGTATTTTGAAAAATACAAAAGGGATCAGGTTCCTTCCTCTCTTTTGATAATAATTACAAAAGGCCACACGCCCTGAATGCACACATATACTGCATTGTATGTATTCCAACATTGTTGGTTATTCGGAAGAACTTGATGTGTATTGATGGAGACCCCTGGCTTAGTGGTTAGAGTCATGAACCACGGATGCCTTTTCTGCTGCAGCTCATACACAATAGAATTCTCTACTCCAGAATGCCCATGCATTACCAAGCTTTTTTTAAGAGTTCCAATATTGTTCTGAACTATTTTATATTTTAATTTGTTGTATTTCATCCAGTGGTGGGATTCAAACAGGTTTACTACCAATTATGTGGGCGTGGCTTGGTGGGTGTGGCCTGGTATGCCTTGGTTGGCATGGCTTGGTGGGCGTGGCAGGGGAAGGATACTGCAAAATCCCCATTCCCTCTTCACCCCATTAACCTGCTTTCCAGCTCCGTTCTCCTGTTCAGGGCAAAAAAAGATCAGCTGGGAGTAAGGGAGGCAGTGAGGGCAGGGCCAGCCAATTTGCCGGTTCTCCGAACTACTCAAAATTTCTGCTACCAGTTCTCCAGAACCTGTCAGAACTGGCTGAATACCACCTCTGATTTCATCCAAACTCTTCTAATGGGTAGGCTGTGAAAACTGTAAATGAATAAGAAGTCATGCCCATTTTTTTCTGAGCCTTTTCAGGGGCTGGGGGGGAGGGGGGAGATGCAGCTACTTAAAAACTTTGTTAACAGTTGACTTCCACGGGTGGGTTCCGGCTTCTGCTATTGCTCAGGGATGCGCTTCAGGAGGGGCGCTTTGTGCGCATGCACAGTAGTAAAGAAAAACTTCTGTGCATGTGCAGAAACAAAAAAACAAGCTAGAGCTGCCTATGGTGCCGCCGATAGAACTGGTTCGGGGGCATGGCAGGCCAAGTTACTATCTACTCGGCCGAACCAGTCCGAACTGGTAGGAATCCACCTCTGTTGACTTGGAAAAAAATATATAAGCTGTTTTAAAGAATAGCAAAGTGGTGACGACCTACGATCTGAAATACACCTTAGGAATTATTACCTGTGTGTATAGCTTAAATATTGGTTCCCTGAACTATTATTAATATGCTGTGAGATTTTTAATCCCCAAAAGTTCACATTAAGACTTGATTTTTATTCCCTGCAAGGTGACAAAGTCATTCCTCTCTGTGTTCCTCAGTGCGGACAATGCGACTGCTGCTTGAGCCCAAAAGCAAACTGCTGTCTCAAATCCCAGTAAGTTTGAGATTATAGTATAATCTTTATTGTCATTGTACTTAAATACAACAAAATTGGTTATTGTTGTACATATTACTTAGAGCAGGGGTGTCAAACTCAAGGCCCATATGGCCACCCTGGAAACAGCGAAGAACCAGCCCGCAGCATCTCTGACAGCAAAAACGTGGCTGGAGGGCATGCGTGGCCCACCCAAGCTCTGTTTTTGCTGGCAGAGGGTTGCAGGAAGCCATCATGGCTGAAAATGGAGCTTAGGAATCCCTTTTTCATTGGCAGGATGCTCAGGCCGCCACAGTCGCCCCCGACACAAGTGACATCAAGCTGGCCACGCCCACCCCTGCCCCTGAGGTCAAACATAACCCTGATGCAGCCCTCAATGAAATCGAGTTTGACACCCCTGAGTTACAGTGACCATTTCTGACCAATCCAGTTTATTGACAAAACACTGACTTGAATCTCCTCAAACAGCATTTATAAGGCTTTTCAAAGTGTGATGCCAGATGGAACCAGCAGGTTTACCTGCCGGGGTAAACAGATTCATCACTTCCTGTGGATAAGCACCTTCTCCGAGTACACGGTGATGCCTGAGGTATCTATTGTAAGAATTGACGACGATGCGCCTCTGGATAAAGTTTGTCTCTTTGGCTGTGGCTTCTCAACTGGCTATGGGGCTGCCATCAATTGTGCCAAGGTAAGAAGAACTTCATACTTCCTGCATAGATTGGGAGACGAGTTTGTTCCATATCTTCTAGAAATGAATCTTGATTTGTTTGGCTTTTGTTGTAACTTGTGGTATAAATGCAACTACTATGATTTGAGTAATCCTGATCTATTGTGATTGATTTACATTGTAAATATGGTGTTAACCTGTAAACCATGGGTTAACTTGATGTCAGTCTCTGGCTTGTTTGATTTTGGCTTGATATATCTTATGAATCCAATTATTGAGATTTGTAAATCATGGTTTGTGGCTTAGTACAACAGAGTGGCAAACAATGGCTTATTGTAACATGGAAACTCAATCATGGGTCTAAACACACAAGTGTTGCAAGGATATCATGCTGCTAGTTTGGACACAGAGAAGTAATGTCAAACACCCTTGTCAATTTATTGAACATCATGCAATAAATTATATTTTCTGTACTCTTTCCAGTCCTAGTTTATACCTTTTCTTACCTATGTATTCCAACCTTCTTGTTATAGTTGGTTGATTTTATGCCATTGCTCTTTTTTTATTTAACTAAAATGACTTTTATTGCATTCTGCTCAGTTTTAGTTATTTTATTTATTAAATTTAGATGCATCTTGTGGTTTGAGGTGACTCTGAGTTTTGTGTCCATGTTTGCCTTTTTGTTCTAAAGACTAGAATCTAAGTTTTCTTAGTTCTCATGCCATCTTCATCCATCCAGCTCCTGGTTTTGTTTGAGTGTCTTCCAACACAAGATTCTTCTTTGTGTGATTAATTTTCAGGTTGATCCTGGTTCTTCCTGTGCCGTCTTTGGCTTGGGAGGTGTTGGCTTGTCTGTGATCATGGGTTGTAAAGCAGCTGGAGCATCCAGGATTTTTGGGATTGACATCAACAAGGATAAATTTATAAAGGCCAAAGAATTAGGAGCCACTGAATGCTTCTGCCCCCGAGATTTTGAGAAGCCGATTCACGAGGTGCTTGTGCAGAAGACTGGTCTTGGTGTGGATTATACATTTGAAGTGATTGGACGCATTGACACAGAAGTATGTAATTTGTGTTAGCAATAATCTCTTAGGTTCAAATTTCCATTCTGTAGCAGAAAACACCTTCAGATATTAGGATTAACATTCAAGCAGAAAATATTCTAGTGTCTTGGGGGTCACATATTCTATTTTTGGGGGGAATGTTTTTCCATTTTCTAGGAAAAAATGTGAACATTAAATATATGTCCAACACATGCATACTTTGGTATCTTTGTAGTAGTGTCTGTGAGTCACATCTGAGATTATGATTATAAATAATCACATTCTCCTCCTCCTCTTCTTCTGTTACCCAGAGGACAAATGAGCAAACTTACGTATTGGTTGGTCTTTCCAATTACAAGTATATACAAGTGTTCCTCAAGTTACGACCACAAGTGAGCCCAAAATTCATGGTGCTAAGTGAAACATTTGTTAAATGAGTTTGCCCCATTTTACAACTTTTCTTGCCGCAGTTGTTAAGTGAATCATTGCATTTGTTAAGTTAGTAACATGGTTGCTAAGTGAATCTGGCTTCCCCATTGACTTTGCTTGTCAGCAGGTCGCAAAAGTGGATTACATGAGTCCGGGACATTGCAACTGTCATGAATGTGAGTCAGTTGCCAAGCATCTGACTTTTGATCATGTGACCAAGGGGATGCTGCAACAGTCATAAGTGTAAAAAAATGGTCATGAGTCACTTTTTTCAGTGCTGTTGAACTGTTGTAAGTCAAGGACTACCTGTACTGCCCATATTTTAACACTAGGTAAAAGAAAGAAGTTGCTGTGGCCTGCCAGAGTCAGACAATGAGGAGGTTGGGGAGGACCATGGGCCAGTCTTGGAGGCTGGGGAAAGCTCAGACAAGGGCTCTGCATTGGAGGCAGAGATGGGGCCGAGGCCGTCTGGCAGTGATTAGGTGCTTACT